GTTCACCTACTACTTTTATCTACGAAGGTTTAGTATTTGTTCATTCTGCTCATATGAAATGCTTACTGTGTAGTTCATTGTTTTGATGGTTGCATTTAAATCCTCAACCTCTTTTTGCTTTGAGCTCAGCGTTAAAACACTGGCAGAACTACATATGACTAACCAGGCTTTGTATGTGCTGCTTCTGATTCACATGTAGCTAAATTATGGAAAGTAGGATCCATATTTATTAGGAGGAATAATGAAAGTGGTATAATGCGGCTCATTCGGACTGAGCGCTTGAGGCGTTTATGATGTACTGTTTGAACTCCTCTCAGCATGGCTTCTGCCTACAATAATGGACTTCTAACCTGCCTTAGGGAAATATTTGTATTCTACTATCACTATATGAAAATATGAAGTAAAAGTAAATCAAACTATTTTCAAAGTAAAATAAAAGCACTGTAGGGAGTCTTGAGTTCGGCACTCTCATTCAAATCTCCAGTTTAACCACATTCGCTCCATTGCATCCTCTGCAGGGACACTGAATGTGACGTCAGTCCAATAGCTTTTTGAAAACATCTCGGACCAACACCATGCTGAATTCATTTACAACTACTTTAAAACCCGCGGCTCTTCTGTATCTTCAGAATAGCACAATGAGTTGGGTTGAGTTGTTTTTCCTGGAGTCATCTGATTCTCAGCAGGGAAAGGAAGCACACAGACTGCGGAAGGACGTGCCATATTACCTTTCATATAAAAGCCATTGACTCATGCATGAAGACAAGACATTAACAGTCGTTCAATACTTTTCATGTTTACTTCAGCATAACGTCTGTACATGGCTGATACATGTTATATATTGCTCGAGTTTGTTTATATATGAAGAGTTCAGATGCAAAAGCCTCTAAATGCCATTTGAAATTTTCTTCTAAAATGATCATTTTTATCAAGCTTGTATATTTAAGTTCAGTAATAGATTACCTATTAATTGTCATTTAAGTGAAATTACTGAACTTAAATATACAAGCTTGATAAAAATGGTCATTTTAAAAGAAAATTTCAAATGGCATTTAGAGGCTTTTGCATCTGAACTCTTCAAATATATATATATATATTCACCTAAAGGATTATTAGGAACACCATACTAATACTGTGTTTGACCCCCTTTCGCCTTCAGAACTGCCTTAATTCTACGTGGCATTGATTCAACAAGGTGCTGAAAGCATTCTTTAGAAATGTTGGTCCATATTGATAGGATCGCATCTTGCAGTTGATAGAGATTTGTGGGATGCACATCCATTCGTTCCACCACATCCCAAAGATGCTCTATTGGGTTGAGATCTGGTGACTGTGGGGGGCCATTTTAGTACAGTCAACTCATTGCAATGTTCAAGAAACCAATTTGAAATGATTGGAGCTTTGTGACATGGTGCATTATCCTGCTGGAAGTAGCCATCAGAGGATGGGGACATGGTGGCCATAAAGGGATGGACATGGTCAGAAACAATGCTCAGGTAGGCCATGGCATTTAAACGATGCCCAATTGGCACTAAGGGGCCTAAAGTGTGCCAAGAAAACATTAACAGTTGAAGACTGGAAAAATGTTGCCTGGTCTGATGAGTCTCGATTTCTGTTGAGACATTCAGATGGTAGAGTCTAAATTTGGCGTAAACAGAATGAGAACATGGATCCATCATGCCTTGTTTACCACTGTGCAGGCTGCTGGTGGTGGTGTAATGGTGTGGGGGATGTTTTCTTGGCACACTTCAGGCCCCTTAGTGGCAATTGGGCATCGTTTAAATGCCACGGCCTACCATCCCTTTATGGCCAGTTGGCCACCATGTCCCCATCCTCTGATGGCTACTTCCAGAAGGATAATGCACCATGTCACAAAGCTCAAATTATTTCAAATTGGTTTCTTGAACAGGACAATGAGTTCACTGTACTAAAATGGCCCCCACAGTCACCAGATCTCAACCCAATAGAGCATCTTTGGGATGTGGTGGAACGAATGGATGTGCATACCACAAATCTCTATCAACTGCAAGATGCGATCCTATCAATATGGGCCAACATTTCTAAAGAATGCTTTCAGCACCTTGTTGAATCAATGTAGAATTAAGGCAGTTCTGAAGGCGAAAGGGTGTCAAAAATAGTATTAGTATGGTGTTCCTAATAATCCTTTAGGTGAGTGTATATTTATATATATTTATATATTGATCTTTGCAACAGAGAATATCTTGAAAATGCATTTTTATATAGACTTGGCAGGATAAAAAACACAAGTTTGTCATGACCTTCAGCTATCCATCATCCATTGCTCCTTTCTTCTTTAGTCCCGATTCATTTGAAACCTTTATCAACTGCAAAGCTTGCAGCCTTCACACGCTCTATAAAGCCATCAACTCTCAAATCTCAACTCAATCTGGCTTTGACATCTACGTTCATTCACTGTGAAGAAGATGTCTCCGAGCCCCGGCTAGGCTAAACTGTGACATGGAGATCAGAATTAACAGGCAATTTCTGGAGCATGCGAGATATGCGGTGCACTCATGCAGCTAATAGCAAATTAGAACTGTTTAGACTAGAATATAAATGACCTTTGATCTTTGCTTAAAGTCATCATGAAGTCAAAATGGATAAAATGCATGTCCTCGTAATCTTTGGTAAAAATATCTTCCCTTCACTCTTGCAGAGACGTCTCTTTTCTGATTATGTATGTTTATTGGCATGAGGGTGGGGCAACCTGTCACTCACATGAGATCGACCAATAGCAAACCAGAACCTTCCAATCAATTCCTGATGGACAAAATCAAGTCCTATTTTTTTCTTGTCCGAGAAGCTGCTTCACTCAGATTTACGTCACGATAGGGAAGAAAAGAAGATCGCAACTTCCGACTTTTGGGTCATGAAGAAGTGATTAGAAGAGTGATGCAAAAATGAATGCAAAAAAAAAAAAAAAAAAAATGTTGCCAATAAGTCATATAAAGATCATTTACATAGAAATCTTTAAGAGCCAGTCTGTTTATTTCCATTACATTCATAAAAAGCATTGGGAATATTAATGCAAGTTTCTGCTACATGGAAAAAAAAAAGCCTTTTTTCAAGGTTAGTTACTAATTAAAATATTTAAACACATTTCAATTAATAGTAAAATTCCATCAAATTGAATAATCCTTACATATTAAAAAAATAAATGAAACATTTTGTATAATTCTTCATGGAATAAGGGAATGAACAAGGGAAAATATGTTTAAATTTAAGTTTAAGATTTATATCCAAAATATTTTATTAAGCTCTAGTTTTTTTTTACTCATTTAAGAATAATATGTAAGGATTATGTAATTCAATTTGATGGAATTTTACTATTAATTAAAATGGGTAAATCTTGAAAAAATGAAAAAGTGCTGCTAAAATGCTTTGAAACATTTTTTCTGTTACTTTCTTTTTTCGACCTAGCAAAAATACGTAAAACTAGAAAATAAGTCTTCATAACAAAATCATCAGTCTCCTCTAAACCTGCACAATCCGATGCATCATTCATGTCCGTATCACAAATGATGCAGAAAGACGTAAGTGCCAAAGTTGAATAAACTAAAGCTTTTGTTCAATCTGTAATTCTAAGCATGTGCAATAGTGATGACATCCTTGCCAGAACAATTAAACTGTGTGAAATATTCTGTTTTCTGCATTCAAATCAGAGGAGAAACTGAAATCACAGAGATTGTATGCCATCTGAACCTGGTTCAAATGAAGAAAAGTAAAGCTGAGGATCTTCAGAGACTGTCGCTTCAGAGAGCTGGAGTCTCGGCCGACCGTAGGAAAGTAGCGGAAATAACCGCAATAGTTGAGCAGAGATCCTTTTCAATTTGCTGTAACTTTGTTTTGCTAGTTGCTAGCTGGAGTTTGATCCACAGCATGATTTGATTTTCCACCATCGAAACTTTGAGATCAGATTGGCTTTCAACATTTGACTTGTCTTCTCCTTAAAAACATCAAGTCTGGAAATCAAGAACTTCTTTATTCATGAGCAGAAGATTGGAAATGTGCAGGAAGGGAAGCAACCAATTTGTTTCAAGTGCTCTTACAACCCGTGGAGGTTATTAGACGTATGTGCTTCAGAGTTATATTTAGAGCTTCTGGATGCGTCCTCATCCTTTCAAAAGGCGGCATTGTTTCCTGGCGTTGCGTGGTGAGATTATAATATGATTTTGACAGGAGAGAAATAGTTTGACAGCTGGCTGAAAGGATGTGTCTTGTGTTGTCGACGCCTGTCAGATGGAAGGTAAACAAGCCACTATTAAAGAGGTCATGTTTATGCATGCATGTTTCACGATATCCGCGTAGCCTGCCCGTGATGCCGACGCATCTAGACGTCGATTTACCTTGTGGTTTGATGGATTTTGTGCTTGATTTAAACAGTAGCACGTTGAATTACAGTCATTTTTCTTAAAACAGGATCTCCTGGTCCATCAGCTGCCTTGGACGGGGTAAGATGAGTCAGTCGATCCCTAGCGTCAGCAGCTGAATTGCAAGTGTTTGAGCATCAGTTGTGGATCTCAGCACATCCATCTATCTTTTCTATTTCCCTTCACATTTTTTAAATGATGTATTTCATATTTTAAGTATAGCAACAGACTATTTGAGTCTAACTTTTGGAGTTTATCTTCTAAACTAAAACTTTAGGTATTTGTTCAGCATTTAAGCAGGTCCACAAATCACTAGATAAAGTGTAATACCCAGCAAAAAAACTACAGAACTGTTATAGAGATTAAATTCAAATTAAATGTGCCCTGACAACCAAGTCAAAATGAAGAAATGTAGTGCACTTCTTTGAATGGAGGATTTTCTGATTAGGAATAATTATTTGAACATCAAATGCCACCTTCAAAGAGACGTTCTTTCTAAATGAGGGGGGGAAAGAGGAGAAACTTTCGTATTTATCTGCCCTTTGAAGCTAACGATAAAGGTTTCTGCATTTAATCCCTCATTTTTATTTCCTGTCTGTCTTCTCGTAGGTGCCGAATGAAAGAGAATGGATGATTTTGTGCTTCTACTCTTCAAATGTTGAGTCTTTCTTTTCCTCGCAAAAAGTGAAACCAATTAAAAACAGCTCATTCTGCCGTTGCCCACAACAGAGTCCATGATGTTCAAACTTCAGCCAGTCAGGAATTAAATGATGTGCATGTTTGTTTTGTTGGCACAATTAAAAATGAGCATGTCGCAGTGTGACTGTGCAAGATACAAAACATCATGAAGTTGTTTGCACTGTGATGTGAAGTAACAAAAAAAATTCCTGTCGCCTACAAGAGATGCAACAGAATTCTTGATGTCTTCTGAGCTATGCAAACATCCTCCTGTGGATGCCAGCTAATGATGGAGAATGCCAGTAAAGTGAGTGGATAAAACACTCTTGAATATGTGTATCAGTTACAGTTCATCTGATAGTTTGTTCTTATTGGCATTTCAGAGTTTCAGCAGCAATAGATTTGTATTATTCGGCACTCAAAAACTCAATGTGATTCATGGTTAAAAAACAACTGCCAAGAGCAAAGAAAATCTAGATGAGTTCGAACTTGTTTACCTGCTTCAGTTCACCTTTTTTTTTTTGCTAAGCTCCGCCCCTTTTGGTTACGATTGCTCTCACAGACATTCGAGTAAACTGGAGATATTGGAAGGATGGACGGAAGGATGGATGGATGGATGGAAGGATGGACGGAAGGATGGATGGATGGATGGATGGATAGACGGAAGGATGGAAGGATGGATGGATGGAAGGATGGACGGAAGGATGGACGGAAGGATGGATGGATGGATGGATGGATGGAAGGATGGACGGAAGGATGGATGGATGGATGGATGGATGGATGGATGGATGGATGGATGGATGGATGGAAGGATGGACGGAAGGATGGATGGATGGAAGGATGGATGGATGGACGGAAGGATGGACGGAAGGATGGATGGATGGATGGATGGATGGATGGATGGATGGACGGAAGGATGGATGGATGGAAGGATGGACGGAAGGATGGATGGATGGATGGATGGATGGATGGATGGATGGAAGGATGGACGGAAGGATGGATGGATGGATGGATGGATGGATGGACGGAAGGATGGATGGATTGAAGGATGGACGGAAGGATGGATGGACGGACGGATGGATGGACGGAAGGATGGAAGGATGGATGGACGGAAGGATGGATGGAAGGATGGATGGATAGAAGGATGGATGGATGGATGTACGGATGGAAGGATGGATGGATGGATGGAAGGATGGATGGAAGGATGGATGGATGGATGGATGAAGGGATGGATGGAAGTATGAATGGATGGAAGGATGAATTGATGGAAGGATGGATGGATGGATGGACGGACAGACGGAAGATATAGATAGATAGATAGATAGATAGATAGATAGATAGATAGATAGATAGATAGATAGATAGATAGATAGATAGATAGATAGATAGATAGATAGATAGATAGATAGATAGATAGATAGACAGACATGTTCTAAACAGCTTTGATGGCACATCTTTGCATTGCAATGCTATATATGAAATAATCAACACCTTGTGTTTACAGAAGCTTGCAAAAAAACATCATTTATTAGTCTATATTAAGCTTCCCTCTCTTGTGGAATATGAATATGAAATTCAATTCTCGCAGATGCCACTGAACTGGTATGAATAATAAAAACAGTTAATCTTTTCTTTAATTAAATGTCTCTCTCAAGCCTCATTGCAGTATGGGAAAAGACCCACTGGTGTATAAAACAAACCTAATTAATTCAGATTCTTTCTCAACGGCAAGTTTGTTTACTTGCGCAGTGTCTATCATTTTGAGTGAACGAGTGTCTTCGGGTCACAAAAAAAAAAGAAAAAGAAATGTGGGGCTGTGAACAAGGAGACATTTCTGTGTACAAGTCCATTGTGTGATATTCAGGAAATAAATGAAATGAATTTATGTGCTCAATGTATGTTTCATGAAAGAGATGTTTAATGAAATCATGTTTCGTGGATGTTAAGAGATAGATGTGCCTAATTGGTCTCTCTGAAATACGGGCAAGCGTAAAACATTCTGCAACTGTGTAAATCGGTTTAGAAGAACAAGGAGAATAATATTGTGCAAACTTGCAGCTGTCTGCTCAGTAAAGCCGGTCTTAAGGACCGAGCTCTATATGCTTTCTTTGAATCCCACCGGGAGTTTCCGAGTGAACGCGCTTGACAATGCAGCTGAAACAATTAATTAGTGAAAATCCAAGTCTGTGCCGCCCGCATGTGTCATGCTTTGCAGAATTAATTAATACGTATGCTTTCAAGATGCTTCCCAGTCTCCATGGGCTTGTACAGTGTTTCTCAGGTCACCTGCTAAACTGCAATAAAACCAGCAAGATAAAAATCTCCAACATCCAAAATATAATTTGCTTTCCTTCTTTTTTTTCCAGTATCAGATATGGTCCAAGTTCCCCCTGAGACGACAGCTTAATTTTTCAGCGTGGCCTGATTACCATCTCCTCCACTCACGGTGTGTTACACTAAATGAACTGAGACTGCAATTAAAAAAATCTGTTTAAATTTTCTTCACTAATGACTCCATGCTAGTTATGCCACTCATTGTTTGCGACTGGGCTTATGTTTATGAACGCATGGCATTAACTAAATTAAAAAAAAAATCATTTATTTATTTACTCATTCTGACGATACTCATGTTGTTTGCCTTTTTTCATCTGTGGAACACAAAAATAAATTTTCTGAAAAATATTAATTATATAATTATATTAATACATATATATATATATATATATATATATATAGTATATTAATTGAAGTTTGATGTATGAGTCAAACTTGTGCGTTTTAAATACGCACAAATGAGATTTGAGCTCTGCAGTGGATGTTATAGACTTCTGTGCATAATGTCATTGACGCAAATTTTGTTCGTTTTTATGAGCTTATTTATCATTTTTAAAGCTTGGCAGCCTAGTTAGTATGTTCTTGTTACCATATAGCAACATAAACATTGTTCAAACCATCTCCTTTTGTGCTCCACAGAAGAAAGAAAGACAGGTTTGAAATGACAGTAGCGTGAGTAAATTATGATATTTCATTTTTGTGTGAATTATTCCTTTAAAGTGCCTCTATAATGCCATTTTAAAGTTCCTAATTTTGTTTTGGCAGTCTCCTGCAATAGATTTACATGCATCCAAAGTAAACACTTTCTCTTAATATAGATTGCTGCATCACCTTTTTTTCTTACAGTGTCTGAAACTCCATGGATTTAGTCTCTCTAAACCCCTTCTTTCTGAAAGCCTTGGTCTATCACTTACAGCTCATGTCAGAAATGAAACGCTTATTACCATATCTGATTTTCAGCTCCGATCATCCTCAACACTTGACTGTTCAATTTTTTGATTTTCGATTTCAGCGATGCACTTTTCTTCCTCCCTAAGCCAAACTTAAAGGAGTAGTTCACTTTAAAAAAAACAAAAAAACTTTGCTAATAATTTACTCACCCCCATGTCATCCAAGATGTCCATGTCTTTCTTTCTTCAGTCGAAAGAAATTAAGGTTTTTGATGAAAACATTCCAGGATTTTTCTCCATATAATGGACTTCAATGGGAACCAAACGGTTCAAGGTCCAAAAGACAGTTTCAGTGCAAACTGTTCAAAGGGCTTTAAACGATTCCAGACGATGAATACATATCTTATCAAGCGAAATGATCACTCATTTAAAAAAAATAACAAAGTTTAAGTTTTATAAGCTCAAATGGTCGCCTTGCTCTGTTCTGTGATGCACGTTCGTGACTCTTCTGTTCGAACTCGTTCATCATGTCATTTGGTTCATTCAACGAACGAAATGACTCGAGAAAAGATTCGTTCATTTTGATGAACGAGTTCAAACAGTAGAGTTTTTAAGTGAATGTAAACACTGAGAAAGCGCACGCGTGTAATAGTATTTTGGATCCGTTCAGCTCTTAAAGGGACAGCAGCCTATCAAACCTGCTGCAGTCATTACTGTTAATCAAGCGACAAAAGACAAAGAGAAAATCGCACTGTTCTTAAGACTTCTATACATTACATCTGTCAAATCTAGTCAAAGTGTTTGGATATGAAATGCTCTCTTAAAGGATTAAAAAGAATAAAATTAGAATATTTATTTGCTTTTAAAGAGCAAAGACGATCGTTTTTCAGGATATGTCCCCTTTAAGGGTAACAACAGCTGCTCGGTGTGTAGATGAGATTTGTTTGCATCTAAACTCCATATGGGCGGATTGTCCTGAACAAGAATTTTCATTCTGTCTTCCTTCAAAAATACTTCATTATTAGTGTCAATTAGCAGTGGATCAGTCAGAGGGGGATAATCCTATCTGACATGCTAATTTGAGAGCTGGATGACGGCCAGTTGACACAAACTATGACTGCAGTTTCAGTGCAGCGGTGCGGCAGGTCAGGGATTCAACAGTCACCTGCTTTTCAGAGTTTAACCATGTCTCTTAAAAAAATAATTCCATGATAGGATGCATGATGGGAAACTCTGACCGCAGTGCATGTATTGTTCTTAAAATGTCATTAAACAAACTCATGATTGCATGATGTGGGTGGTTTAGCATGAAAATAACTTCTTAAAAGGCAAACTGCTCTACAGTAGATGTCACCCAGTGGAATGTGCCAGCTCGTTTCATTGCAAACAGGAAATGAAAATTGTAGAAAAAAACAAACAATTATTTTTCTACAATATGATTATAATACTATATATATATATATATATATATATATATATATATATATATGAAGAGTTCAGATGCAAAAGCCTCTAAATGCCATTTGAAATTTTCTTCTTTAATGATGATTTTTATCAAACTTGTATATTTAAGTTCAGTAATTTCACTTAAATAACAATTAATAGGTAATTATCATTGCCATTTAAGTGAAATTACTGAACTTAAATATACAAGTTTGATAAAAATCATCATTCTGGAAGAAAATTTCAAATGGCACTTAGAGGCTTTTGCATCTGAACTCTTCATATATACATCATTATCTGTCTGAATACTCAATTCTGATTGGCTGGAAAGTCTGCAATAAGTAAGGAATAATTGACGACGGGCCATTAAATTATTAGAAAAATAATGCACACCCGAGGTGGTAATGCGGTCAAAACGTAAAGCGTTTTTCAATAATTCAATGGCCCACAGTCAATTATTCCACTTTAACACACTTCAAAACATTGTTCAGATGATGTATTTCAATTCTGTTGTTTACTATATTTATTTTGTTTTGGTTATTTTGCTGTTGTAGGACTAACTGAAATCATTTGGCGAAGTGATATGGAACAGTAATGCGGTCAAGACCTACTTTAGCTGTGCGTTTCCCTTAAAATAATGTGTCATCCAAGATGTCCACATCGTTCTTTCTTCAAAAAAGAAATTAAGGTTTTTGTTAAAAACATTCCAGGATTTTCTCCATATAATGGACTTCAATGGGAACCAAACGGTTCAAGGTCCAAATGAGAGTTTCAGTGCATCTTCAAAGGGCTTTAAGCGACACCAGACGATGAATAAGGGTCTTATCTAGGACCCTTCGAGTCATGACTCAGAAAAGATTTGATAAACGAGTTTGAACAGGAGAGTCACGAACGTTCATCACAGAACAGAGCAAAAACCTTAATTTCTTTTCGACTGAAAAAAGAATGACATGCACATCTTGGATGACATGGGGGTGAGTAAATTATCAGCAAATGTTTTTTTTTTAAAGTGAACTACTCCTTTAAGGTGTCCATGCTGACAAATGAAATTGGTATAAGCAGGATAATCTATGACTAGCTGTGCATTCAAAGATTTTAATGCATGGCGTGGAGGCAAAGATCAGAGGATTATCCCTTACATACTGTATATAGCCTCGATTACACTGAAAATTAAATTCTCTACCCACCCTCATCACATTCCAAACTCGTTTGAATTTTATCCTATTTATTAGACGCAAAATAAGCCTATACCTTGTCTGGATTTGAACTCTAGTTCCTTTGCATGCTTAGTGAAACCTCTAGCAATAGACTAACATATCTTGCTCCCATATAAAGAACGGATAAGTTTTTGAGAGTGTTTTATTTATTAAAAAAAAAAAAATTTTTTTTTTTTTTTATCTCACTTAAGTGAGCGAGGACTGAATAACCCAAGGCTGAATGGGTTTCAAGTCCACCCACCTCAAAATTCCTACCCCTTTGAAATGTTTAATAACCATATTAATGAAATACATCTTTATCACACAGGTCAGGACGCCCTCCAACTATCGAGGAAGAGAGTCGAATGACTGAAAAGCAATGTCAAACGTCCTCCGTTTTCCACTGTGAGTGAGCTCTGAGGATACGCTCATTGCATCAATCAAGGGCACCAATTTTTGTCCGATTTTCATTTTATGGAATATATGAATATAATCATCTCCCTGAGAGTCTTTCTGACTTGTATAAACAGAACACTCTGTGGCCACAGTTGACTGACAGTAGGTTATGAACCTTGTTTGATCAGTTAGTTCAGGATGAAGGCTCTTTAGTAATACTTAACATGTTTGAGTTCAGAAAAAAAGACTGAATGAATGAAATGTTGACTAAATTCACTTCATGGCATGCTACCATGGCAACCAAAAGCTCGCAAGTACGACAGAATGCGTAGAGAGAAGAGCACTTTAAACGGCAGAAGGGCACTTCTGATGTCACTGGGAAGTAATAAAGTGGTTACTGTAATGAACTCCAGAGGGAAGGTTGAACCGAGAGAATAAACCCATAAATACTTAATACCTTACATAGCATTTGGCATTTAACCGAATCTCGGCTTTTTAAAGTGTGCGCATCGAACGCGTTCTGAAGCTCAGCAAAGCTAAAAGCCCCTAAATGAGGATATTAAAACTTGGCGGAACAATATTGTGTAGCCACACCCAATTAATCTCCACTTTGTTTCAGTTGGACCAATTTCATGCTCCTCTGATCAGACAAAACACTAGCAGACCTGCCACTTTACCAGCCGCTGAGAACCCCGACCAGGCATGCGTGATTAGTGGGGCTGCACTTCCAAGAGTGGATGTTTTACCTCCTTCTGAACTGTGCTGTGCACCATATGTTTGAGAACAACTGGAGCAGTGACACTGGAAAGAAGAGTCCAGGTCGTGAGGACAGAGAAGATTCCAGAACACACAGCCATTAATGATATAAAGGTATTATAGCAAAATGACCAAAAATGATTTGTCAGAACAGATACTGCTGATGCTTTTAATGTAGTTCAATTGGGGTAAATGTCAACTCTCGATTTCAGTTATAGCACCCCCTAGCATTGGAAATTGGTGAAATTTGGCATACATCATACGAATGTCCTATTGTTCATGTGTACCAAATTTGAAGAGGTTTGGACCTTTCACTCTCAAGATACAGGTCAATTAGTTATAATGGAACGCACCTTTCTGATCAAATCTGTTAAACCAGGGCTTTTCAAAATGGTAAGTTGGTAATTAGTGAGTTGATAATTAGGCTAATAAGGAAATCATAAAAATGAATATTGCAATCAGTCATTTTAAAATATAGTATGATGAGTATATTTGCATGATATAAAGTAAGAATTGTGAGACTTTATTATACATATCTCTCAATTTTGAGACTCGCAATTCTGAGAAAAAAAGTTTTTTACCGTTTAATATTTTTTATTACATGGCGGATACAAGCTTCTTTAATTAACTGACATCATAAAACTCTGAATATGTGAATGTGTTGTTAAATTATTGAAATATTAACTTAATATAATATCTGGGGGTATTTCAAGTAAATATTTTAGGGCAAAGGAGTTCGGCTGACGAAAACTTTTGGGAATCCCTGCGCTAAACAATTGAATTGTTTTATTTCGTTTAGGACCATTTTAAGTTTTCTTTCTCCAAATTTCATGTGAATCAGACAAATAGACAGGGACTAGGCTTAAAAATAACAAAAGTGGAATAGGTTTCTTGTGGCAGTGGAAATGTATTGAGGCATTTGATTTGGGGTTTTTAAAAATAAAAATAAAACAAATTAGTCTTGCACTTTAAGATTCTGGAGTGTACATGTTTTTTCAGTTCATAAACAAATTTTACATGTGCAATAATTTACATCACAATAAACTGTCATTTTGTCAGATTATGTAAAAATTGTGTGTATTCAGGATACATTCAATTCTAGCTGTTTAATTAACCAAGACAAAAGAAAATGATGCTTAGTGGAAGTGACATTTGTTGGTTTCCACTGCGCATCAAACTATTCTTTTATGCATTGTTAGTGCATATTAATGATACTAGAATAAAAAGTGTTTATTTGATTGAAATCCACAGGGTAATGCAAATAGTTAAAACAAACAATAAGACACAAGAAAAAGTCCATGAAGTGGCCTTGAAGGTATCAAGAAAACAAAGGTCATGATTCATGAAGGATCCTTCCTGTCTCTAATGACAGTCTCTTTTCCGGACTGCCACAGTGAAGGGCTATTATAGCGACGTCTGAATGGGAACATTAGCTCGCAGATACAGCAATTAGCTTGATGATGGTGGACATAAAAGCCTTAGAGCGGAAAACGGCTCCGCGACTCTCTGTTTTGGCAACCTGTCCTGCTTTTGTCATGTAGTTTCCATGGAAATGTTGTGATATGCATTCCGCCATTTGTTTACCTCAAGTCCTTACATCCAATTATTTCACTCATCAGAATGTGACATTCCGAGTTATTTTGAGAAATGCCGCGTGTCAGTGGCTGACTTCAATTAATCCAGGGCTCAGGAGTTGCTTTTCGCTCTGGTATTCTTTCGTCCTAATTAATTGAAAGCAGAATGAATTTGTACAATCACGGAATGGCACGGGGACAATAACTTGGCATTCCGGAGAGTACCTGAAGAGGGGGGTTGATGGGAAGGAGGAGGGGTTTCACTGCATGAGCAGCAGGGGAAAGAAAAGTGCTGATACAAGCTTTAGTTTACCTGCTTCAGTTGTTTTTAAGCTCTATCGGCAGTATTTGTGCCATAATGTGGGTTATCAAAGACAATTCATTTTCATTTGAATCTCACCTTGCTCAGGGTTTTTTTTATTGTAAAAAGCAAGAATGGTTACAAGACAAGAACTCAAATTAGGCTATTTAGAAAGGGAATGATTACAATTTGAGCTATTGTAAATATTTTTGTAATTACTTTTCTAGGTGGATGGTTTGCATTAGCGACTTTATTTCTGGGAATCTGACTTTCTTCAACCGGTCCTACTCGTCCTGCTCCGAGCGGGACTCGAATTGGGGTCTCCGGCGAGGTAACAAGGACTAAAGACAGTCGCTAACGGTTTCTTGAGGTCATGGGAGTGAGGTTTACACGCACAGCTACGTCCGTTACACTCACCTCACTCCCATCCGGGTCATGGCACCAAATTTAAGAGGTAAGATCTGTTCCATCCCATTCCATCCATACCATCGATCCCACCCATCCATTCCATCCATCCTATTCCACCCATCCATTCCATCCATCCATTCCATCCATCCATTCCATCCATCCATTCCACCCATCCATCCATTCCATTCCATCCATTCCACCCATCCATCCCACTCATCCCATCCATTCCATCCATCCTATTCCACCCATCCATTCCATCCATCCATTCCATCCATTCCACCCATCCATTCCACCCATCCATTCCATCCATTCCAACCATCCATTCCATCCATTCCATTCCATCCATTCATCCATCCATTCCATTCCATCCATCCATCCATTCCATTCCATTCCATCCATTCCACCCATCCATCCCACTCATCCCATCCATTCCATCCATCCTATTCCACCCATCCATTCCATCCATTCATTCCATCCATTCCACCCATCCATTCCACCCATCCATTCCATCCATTCCATTCCATTCCATCCATCCATTCCACCCATCCATTCCATCCATCCATTCCACCCATCCATTCCTCCCATCCATTCCATTCCATCCATCCATTCCACCCATCCATTCCATCCATCCATTTCATCCATCCATTCCACCCATCCATTCCATTCCATCCATCCATTCCATTCCATCCATTCCACCCATCCATTCCATTCCATCCATCCATTCCATCCATTCCACCCATCCATTCCATCCATCCATTCCATTCCATCCATTCCACCCATCCATCCCACTCATTCCATCCATCCGTCCGTCCGAGTGGTTTGTGATGACCTACATCACAAATGCTGTTGAAAGAATTTAACTTGAGTCTGGAATTTTTCTTTAAATAGTACTGAATGAAAGTACCTTTTATTTGTATTGTATGAAAAAAAACTTCTGCTTGCGTTCGATAGGGAGACTCATTTTGACACCAGCATGTTAAACAGCGTCCTTTTGATTTCAATAACCAAAGTGGAGGTGTTTCGCTAACAGGAAATCCCACTATCAGCATTCATGTACATATGGGGATACATTTTAATGTATCATAATCCTTAATCCTGTCAGGTAAAGAGCACAAATCCCTTTAAATATGACAATGGCGATAAGAGCACAAAACATGTTTATAGCAGAATCACACATGCTGGATTGTTGAGCTGAGGGAGCTTTGGGAAGACAAGGCCAAATTCCGGAAGCAAATAAATGAAGTGCAATGCTGACGGACAAGTGTCCCAAGCGTCACGTTTTGCTGTTTGTTAAGGGCAGAACCTTTGAAGAAGGAGAGAGGAGCTGGTGTGGGTAACTGCCCTTCAGCAACAGGAATGCTGGGACTTCCTTGTGGTGCAGTTGTCTTTTATCTCTCAGAGCCAGGTGAGCTTTCTTTAGTAAAGGTTTGATTTTACCAAGGGCTGTTAGTGAGAGAGGGACCTTACCTTTCTAAACTTAACCTAGCAGCAAGAACCCAGCAGTGTGCAGCATATCGTCGGTTAAAATTAATTGTAGAAATGAAAGCTCTCACAGCAGGTGAACTAAACCGAAAGAGCTGACGCATTAGCACCAGTATGATGCATTGATGTCTGATCTGAGCCCTGGAATGCAAAAATTCAAATTAGAGATGGTTGCAGTTGAAAACTTTTCCATCTTGCATGCATATAAAGTACTGGTAAAAAAGTTTTAAAGTCTATACTTTTCAATTGCTGGGTCAGATGTGGGTGCTTGAGTTCAAAATGTTTATATTTCAGTGTGCAGGAGTCTTTTATGTACTGTAGTTATAGCTTTCTTTAGGAATGGAAACACTGACCCAGGCAACAATGCTCCCAAGGCCAAGTTTATTTATTTGATATGAATTCAAAATGTTCAAGATTACAAAGCGAATAAGTTTCGGTCCTTTCACACATCAATGACTCAATCACTATACAACAACTCATAGAATTTTTAAGAAAAATAGTTGTGTGTATAATTTGTATGTATTACTTTTACACATATTACATTATATACAGTATTAAAATATAATGTATTTAAAGGTGCTACATGTAACTTTGGGCCTGAAATTGCTGATACAACCTTTAAATAAAATTTTTTTCAGAAATATGTATATTACATGTGTGTGTGCATATATATATATATATATATATATATATATAATTATTACGCTGCCAAACGATTAATCGTGATTAATTGCATCCAGAATAAAAGTTGTTTTTTTTAATTTTTTATTATTATTTTATATATAAATACACACACATGCTTGTATATATTTAAGAAATATTTTATATAGTATGTACTATATATAAATTTATATATAATTTATATTATATATATTTAAATATTTTATATACAAATAATTAAATATACATGCATGTGTGTGTATTTATATATATATATAAAATAAATATACACAGTGCACCTACATATATTCTGTAAACACAAACATTTATTTTGGATGCGATTAATAGCGATTAATATTAGAATTTATTTATATTAGATGTAATGGATGCATTACTTCATATATTTATGTGCTTCCTTATACTCTAAGCGTTTAGGAAGCTGAAGCTGATGAAAACAGTCCACCACCCACAATGTGTCTCAGTATACCAGCTCAATTAGTTTGACACGACGAGGCTGTTACTGTCTGAGCTCCATCGGGGCTGTTGGATGTGTAGAGTGCTTACCTCTTTCTAAATAGAACGTGTGCTTATTTTACCGAACCCTAGAGACTGACTCGCTCTCTCTGTTTTATTCCAGACAAATCATTTAATAGTTCTGTAACCATTCGCATCTGATCTGGAAACATGTTGATCAAGATGAATCGTTTTGTTTGCAGAACTGGTGGGTGATGATGCTCGAATAAAACAACATCAGCCATGATGATCTTTAGAAGAACGTCTAGTATTTGGTTTCCTAATTGACACCATAATGCTCAGTCCAATTTGTTTTGGATAATGCCGGACCATGTGTGTGAGAAGACCGTGTGGAATTGTGCGGCCCCCTGATGTCTGGAGCCATCTGGCTGTGGCCGGTTCATCTCTCTCCGAGTGTACACAGTAATTACAGGGAACCGGCCCACCCGAGCTTGACGAACTAACAGCGTTCGCTCTCTACGACTCTTCCAGCACAATCCTCATCGCTTCATCTTTTACTTTTTTCTTTTCCCACTTGCAGTTTCTCTCTAGCTCCATGTGATAAATATTTATGGGATGAAATGCATGCGGGAATCGTTTACAGCCCACTGACATTGAGTGGAGAAATTTGCAAAAGATACATGACCGAACCATCACCACAGAGAATCCCACCTGCCTCTGAGAGAAAAAACCCTCCCTCTTAAAGATAAACGTTCCAATTAGAGTCCAAAATACCTTAAAAGCCATTACAACATCTTTTTTTTCTCTTTAGAAAAGCGTCAATGTGTTGGCGGTTTAACCCTTTCATGCATGAATTATGATAACCTCTGTCAGGATTTGTGACTGTGTGTTTTTATTGCTCTTATGGCATGAAAAACAAGATTTGACTCTTTTTTTACACAATTTTCTTTCTTCTTTTTTACACTTTTTTTTAAAGAGATTTTCAGAATTCCTAAACTAAAGTGATACATATTAAACACAATACAATAATCAAACCAGTATAGTGTGTGTATTTAACAAACTAATGAATAAAATTGTATCAAATCATGTGAAAACTATAAAATATATACAAAAAAATATACATTTGAAATATCGCAAAGGCAATTGAACGTCATGATAACCTCTGTCAGGATTTGTGACTGTGTGTTTATATTGCTCTTATGGCACGAAAAACAAGATTTGACTCTTTTTTACACAATTTTCTTTCTTCTTTTTTACACATTTTTCAAAGAGATTTTCAGAGATACATATTAAACACAATACAATAATCAAACCAGTATAGTGTGTGTATTTAGCAAACTAATGAATAAAATTGTATCAAATCATGTGAAAACTATAAAATATATACAAAAAATATACATGTGAAATATCGCAAAGGCAATTGAACGTCATGCAAGTTGAACTATCTTTGATATCAGAACATAAGGGCGTGATTCCATCAGAAATTTCTATAGCCTGTCAAGGTACAACAGTGGAAACCACTCAGATGCTCCCTCCAGTGTGCCAGAGTATGTCAGTTTACCCTTATTAGCTGATAATTCTGGTTATGTTAGAGATGATGGACACATTTTTAGCATAGCCCTCCTCTAGAGATACGTTTTATTGAATCTCATCTGAAATAAGCAGTGTTGTAACATGCATAACGCTATCAGATTACTTTTTTGATGTTACAAGTAAAGTAACATACTCCTGACGAAGGTCGTGTGACCGAAACGTTGTGTGCGAATAAACTTGATTGAAAAGTGCAAGTAATGATAGTGTGCGGGAGTTCCTTATCTGATGTTACAAGTAAAGCAATGTGTTACGAGTAACGTGCATTACGTAATCAGATTACTTTTTTGATCTAACAAGTAATGCATTACAAGTCACATATAATAAGTCACATTATTTTTGTTGATGTTAAAAAGAGTTACTGGGATAGATAGAAGGAAATCGCTTCAGTTCAGAAAGCATTTATTAACTCCCTGGAGCCGTTTGGATTTCTTTTATGATGGATGGATGCACTTTTTTCGTTTTCAAAATCTAAGGGACCATTCACTTCCATTGTAAAGCTTGGGAGAGCCAGGACATTTTTTACTATAAGTCCAATTGTATTTGGCTGAAAGAAGAAAGAAAAAAAAATGTTTAGGTGCATTAACCCTTTAAGACCCCTGTAAGAGTATGAACTCAATGAGAATGAAACATTGAAACAAGTGAAACATTTCAAATTCCTCTAAAAGAGCAGCATCTGCTCAACTTTTGAACCCCAAACCGCAAACATGTTTCCTGATACAAAGAGACCTAATAACCAAGTAAGAAGCAATGAGCTTTATTAAGTCCAGCACAGAACGCAAAGATTATCCAGAGTCTTTTTATAGTAGGTTTTTACAGGGACCTTTATAACGATTCATCACACATTCTCACTCCTTTCTGCTTTACAGTCATTAGGTTCAGTTCTCGAGTGTTAAGCCTGAGAATGAGGTGTTGAAGACATCAGGATGTGAGGAATTTCTCGGAGATCTTCACAACGAAGCCTGTTAAAGGATCCTCCCTCCATATAACTGGTATGTTCTGCGAATACGCTACTGTCCCATGTGTTTTATTATAAGAATTCTATTATATTCTATTTAGACATGAGACCAATTTTGATAACAGGCAGCAATTTTTTTTAATTATTATGATTGTATAATGTAATTTTGTAATGAATATCACTGTTTTATAATCAAAATAAAATGATAAAAACTTTAACATTTTTAAAAAAATGTCTAGTTTGACCTAGTTTGATCAAATCCTTGTAAAAGCGGTGCTTTTTTGATCTCGAGGGGAAAACCCCAATACTTTGAGTTTCAGACCCAGTTTTGTACCCTGTTCATGGACAGTGCCAACTAATGAAAGATTTGACGCCGCTAATTGAGATTGATTGGACTGTTTAGGCGCTGTTAAAGAAGAGCTCTGACGACTTGGCTCCCTCAGCACAGATACCGTAGATTAAGCTCGTAAAAAATCTGCCGATTTCTCTCTCCTTTTTTCAGAATCGAGCATTTTGCATCACTTTGTTCTGTGTGTCTCTATGGTGGATCACATGTTCTCACACACCGGAAGTCAAAAGGTCACGTAGCTCGTCATGAATGATTTATTCAGGGAAATTAACATGCGCTTCTCAATCTGGTGGCTTGATGATTTTATAATGCATGTGTGCCGTCCGGTTAAAAACGCGTTGGACTAGATGGACCAAATCAGCCGAGCAGGAACAAAAAATGAAGCGGTTTTGCTGCAGCTCCTGTACCTCGATAACCATGTCCCCTTTCGCCAGAATCACTCTGATAATATACAGGCTTATTCATGAAGTAGATCTCAGTGAGTCCCTACATCCCTACAGGCCATTTTTTGTAAGCGCAGCCAAGTGAATTATGGGAAATGCATGGGGTTTTAATAATGAACTAGTGTCCATTCTACATGGAAATTATATTGATGTAGTCTTCCACATAAGCTGGTATAAAAGTTGCATGAACCAGAAAGTTAAACGTATTTAATATATAGTGGGATCAAAGCAAAGCCTTGTAATGCCAGAATAAACTAATAACGGCTGAATTCTCTGAATTTCTGTGATCTACTTTAGCTTTTGGGAAACGCACAGTGTCGTAGTCGAGACCATCTCACTCGAGTCCGAGTCGACACCGAGACCAGAGAGAGTCGAGTCCGAGTCAAGACAGAGTCCATAGAGAGTCGAGTCCGAGACCAGAGACGGTCGAGTCCGAGTCGAGACAGAGACCAGTGAGGGTTGATTACCTAATTTACTTTAATTTACTTAGAGAAATCCTTTTTTATTATTTATTTTTTTTACTGAATTTACTTAAGAGTTTAAAAAATATGATCAGTTTAGGGTAAAAAGGCCACATAGTAGGTGGTGTTAAAAGTAATTTTATTACAATTTGTCATGTGCAGTTGCGCACTAGAAAATCACCAATCACTGGGCGTGTCAATCAATTTAAAGAAATATTTTATTAGCATACATTAATAATCATGAAAAATATTTTTAATTGAACTCGAGTGGACTCGGTAATAATTCCGAGTCATAAAAAAAAATGTTCGAGTACGAGTCAATTCCGAGTCCAAATGGACACGAGTCCATGACAAGACCAAGACCATTAAAATATGATTTCGAGACCGAGTCCGAGACGAGTCCGAGTCTCGAGTACTACAACTCTGGAAACGCAGCCCTGGTTTTTAAAAAGTTGGATGATAAAGTGACTGTATAGCTTCGCCCATATGAGTTACTACAACTGGCCTTAGCATGGTGCGCACGCTGCGGAAGACGGAAATGATGTGTATTGTGTATTTGATTGCACAAATTTGATTCACACAAACATGTTTTGGTTTCAGCACTATTAAGGGATGTGTGTCAGATTGGTTTCAAACCTTAAAAAGCACTGAAATGATGTGCCTTTATGAGAGTTGCAACCAAAAAGCCGTGCCAATTACGGAAAACAGAAATCCAATAAGCCCAGAGGCTCTTGTATCAGGCGAGAGTGATTTAGTATTACCCCAAAACAGTGTTTGAGTGATTGTTATTAAAAATTATTTCAAACACCCAGATGGCTCCATTTAGTTTCCTAGATTTTCAGCAGGTTTCATTAAAATTGTGTTAGAACAACAACAACAACAAAAAAGAGAAAGACAGAAAAATACACGCAATCATGGTTGTACCCAGAGAGAAGTATGCATGCAAAACAAAAGCTGTTGTGCAAACGTTTGCAGAGTCACACGGTGAATGAACCTCTTTGTTGATAATCGCACACGTGCATTGCATCATTTATCCGCAATTTGGTTGCCAGGACACTTCTGGAATGGACTGAGGCATCATTCCACTCTTCAAGCCGCATTCCGTCCGAAACTGAGCCGAGCGTCTTTTAAAACTAGCAGCTGCCATTCATTGTTTATTTTCAATTAAAAGAGCAATTTAACCAGTTTACGAGGCAGGATATGCACAGAGCAACTACCAAGTAATTAGTTAATTATCCACCGGTCACACCCACATGTCTCCAGCAAAAACACGTAAAAAAAACATAATGCTTCCAATAAATTATACATTGTGGGAAAGGCTGCTTAAATATCAGTGGAGGAAGAGTCTCGCTTCATTTCCATTAGGAATATGAACACATCTGCTCGCTAGGATTCCATTTTTCTGGGGTCTGTCTGCAAAGGATTGCTCCCATGCTCTCTAATATGCACATCAAAGAAGCGCTCGCATCAGATATGTGCCGACTGAATATTGAGAATGCATTGCTCAGCCCTGCCGTGGCATTCGTTAATAAATCAAGTCATGCAATCGTTGGTGTCAAAGATGCATCCAATGTAAATGATTTAGAATGTACGGATGATCATACAGGAATTATGCACAAGAAAGAGTAAGGTCACCTTAAAGCAGTGGTCTCAAACTTTGGCCCCCTACTTGATATTAAAGTTTAATGTTAGTGCGGCCGTCGTTGCGTGTGCCAGGTTTTTTTTAAATATTTATTCCTTATGGGCTACCATAGATGGTCTCGTGACAGCTTACGGTGGGTTTGTTATCAATAGTTGTCATAGACTAGCCTGGTAATACCAGACTCTGCTACTTCACTTTGCTTCATAGACAGAGTCTGGAATGGCATAATAGAGAAGTGTTTTTTCTCGCGATAGGGGGCGCTTGTCTGAAGCGTTCATATGTTCAAATTCAGAAGAAACGTTACTAATAAAGATTGGATCAGTTGTGCTCCTTTTTGTGGCCCAGATTCTACCTCCAGCGGCCCCCAGTTAAGTTTAGTTTGAGACCCCTGCCTTAAAGAGATAGTTCACTTTGAAATACATTTTAGCTTACCTCAAGGGCACCCAAGATGTAGGTGTCTTTGTTTCC